AAGGAATGTGGGCATATTTGGGATCCTTTGATATTATTTACGGAGAATTAGTATATTTTTGTTTGTATCCGAGTCTTAAAATTCCTCAATTCTACGAACTATGACTGTCATGGTAAGTTTTTGTTAAGAAATAGAGCAAGGCTGGTACAAAATATAGTTGATTTGATTAGTACTTATTTGTAAAGATCGAAATGCAAACATTCATTCTTATCAAATGTAACTTACTGGTATTTTAATCACGGTGGTTGGCTTCCTCTAGTTTAATTCGCTAAAAGGGTGAATTTAAGGAGATTCAATATATGATAGTGGAATCTTCTCACAATGAGATGAGTAGGCCTCAATGTTATTACCACTTCACTATAAGTCCACGCGAGATGCCTGGATTGCTTTAATTGTTACATCTTCCCCGTTGTCATGTAGTTAAGTGGAGTGTTTACATCACCACGATCCTGTATCGAATACTGCTGAGGGTGCTGATGACACTTAGGCGCGATTGAAGAGTCAGTCCACCTTGGATGAGATAGCCTTTAGAGAGACAAGGCTAAGTGAAATCCAATGGCATTGCATAGACTACTCATTTCATTATGTGAGAACTCAACTATCAATCTTTAAATCTCCTCAAGCGAGCTGAATTAAAATAAAATGTAAGGTAGGCAAGCATAAATTTTTCGTATATAAGTAGAGTTTCGAGGCTACCAGTAAATCAGTTATATGAAGGACTGTGGTTAACGTGTAGATTTTACACGCTACATTGTCATGGTTCGAATCCCGCTGGGGAGTTCTGATAATGCTTAGGTGAGGTCGAAACTACAGTCTACACTGGATGATAACAACTTTTTGGAATGCAAGGCTATGTGAAATTCAATGAAAACGTCAACTCTACTCATATTGTGGGAAAATTCTACCAGTCCTTCATCACCTTAAACGAAATAGGGTGAATACATCTCATATGACATCAATTTATTAGGGGATTCTCCAAAGCGCAGCTGCAAAAGCCATTCTCGGGCTTCTTAAAACCTCATCAAAAATGAAGAGCCGCAATGATAATGTATACACGCGATCAAAAGTATAGTTGAGTCAATGGGAAATTAGAAATGGTCTGAGCAACATATTTAAAGATGTGCATCTAAATGAATTTAAGATCTTATAATAAATTATTCAAAGGTGATAATCGGCACTCAAGATATATGAGACGACGCTAACCTGGATAGAACATTTGAATTTGCTTGACGAAGTCCTTAGAACTTTCCTCAATTTCTGGATCATCAAGCTCTCCACCTGTCAGAGATAAAAGGAAGGCAGCTGCGTCATTCATAACTGGACCAAGGCCAAAGTGTTGATGCGAGTTATGCAGTCCACCAATGAAATCAGCAGCATAACTGTCTGTCATAAAAGCATAAAATGAAAAGTGTCAAGATTACTAAGCCAATATTAAGTACAATTGGATAATTTATTTGTAAAAGACTTAATTAGATACTATAAAGAAGTCATTGCTGCAAAATTTGTCATGAATTTTATTTTATTGCTTTGCCCATTTGCATTTGAAGTCACCATTATAAGTGTTTTGGGAAAAGGGATCAGTGAGACGGAAACGAGATGTATACAAACCTCTTATTACAGAATATTGTTGGAAAGCTTTATCGATGGGATTTTTATGGATTCCCTAGCCAAAATATTTCCTTGGGAAGACGCACTAAATAGCTTGCATTTCTTGGCATTTGGTTACGTACTAAATTTATTACGTTGTAGTTCTCAAATCTAGAGGAGATCGGGAACGCCTTTGATCCATGTATGTATCAAATACTTCTTTCCATTCTATTGAGCAGGAATCATTGAAACTTACTTAAAATGTATTTCCAAAGTAACTTTCAGATGTGTCAAACAAATATCATATACAACTAAAGGAGACTGTGATTAGTCAAAAGTCCACACCATCTGATTCTTCAAATCTACAAAGTATTGTATTATCCAGCAAATTGTGTAGTCTATTATAACTTGACCTTGTACCTAAGGCAGCTACAATGATTGCCTCAATGTGGTTACTATCGAATAGCATTGCAATGTGAACTTCCGTTTAATTAAGACATTTGTGGAATATCCCAGGCACTGACATGGGCATCATTTGTGGAATAGTTTACTTATTTGGCATCGGGCAGAACCGAATGAAGAATGCCTTGGAATTGTGACCGTTAATTTATGCAATTTGGTCCTTAGTTCATCGTCATGTGACCCCGAGGGAATCTCTGCCAAGTTTCAGAGCAGGATGCCAATCTTTTATAAAGCTAATCAGATTATAGGCTACGATTGGTGGCAAACTGCAATCTTGTAATAATATCTTTTGTAAATTCTTTAATAAAACCTTCAGTCATCCTAGTTCTCATAAGGTAAAGAAAGCCTGCTATCTTGTTTTAAGTGGGTTCTTGAGACTACCAGTGAATCAGATTTCGTTTAAGCTGATGAAGGACTGATAATTGAACTTTCCTACAATAATAGAAGTGGAGCTGAATTTCACATAACCTTGCTTTCCCAAAAGGTGTTCTCATCCAGGATGGACTGCAGTTTCGACCTCGCCTAGGTCTTGCCGACACCCTCAAATGGAGTCGAACCATGACACTGCAGTGTGTGATAGAACCGAAACCATATTGCGTGCTTTATGTGGCGACACGTCATCACTAGACCATACTGTCAAGGGTACCACTTGGATGGGCATAGCATGTCATGAAAAGTACATCTGCCATGACACTGTGGTAACGTTTGGCCAGTTTACGTGAACGAGCCAAATTCGATTCAATTTGGGAATGCTAATGAGATCTAGGTGAGGTCAAAACTACAGTTCACTCTGTATATGAACATCTTTTGGAAGGCACAGGAGGTTAAGTAAAATGCCTTATCACATCATTGCGGGAATATTTACCCATAAAATGAGAACTAAGGTGACACGCTGTAATCCTACCTACTCATTAGAATCTATTCTCGCTATCGTAATGAGGCAAATTTAAAGGATTAGAATAATGATTTAACGAAATTCCTAGCAATAATCCATAAGAATTAATTGACAATACCTCAAAATGTTAAGAAGAATGGAGCAGAACAGAAATGACAGAAAAACAAGCATATTGACAGCTTAACCATGCTATTAATGCTACAATCCTATTGAGGAAATGGGGCACTATAAGCATTTATGAAGAGGGATCGAGATTTACCATGGTTATGCCTTACAATCAAGAAGTTCAGACCTATCTTTATAGTTTGTAAGGAAGTTGGCTGAGCACAATACCTCTTGAAAAGTTTTATGGATTTAGAAATGGCTAGTGCAAAACACCTGAGCGGAAGAATTAAAATCAATTTTTTGTAGGATATGGAGACTTCACGGGTAAATGAAAGATTATGGGGCCGATATATATATTTAGAAATGAACATTCTAAATAAAGAGAATGAATTTGGCTAATTAAACAATTGGGATAGAATTGGGGAGAAATGGGAAGAATAGACAGCCTAGAAAAAGACAAAATTGACCCATGCGCATAGCACATTCCTATTACGCGTGCAACATCATACCGAAAAGCGCGTCAATATTGCAGGATTACTTGTAAGGTGATTTTGGTAAGAAAACGGACGTTTGTCTATATCCGCCTCGACCTTGCTCCTAAAAGAAGGCAATGCTAAGCATGAAGCAGCCAATCAAAGCATAAGAGGTCTCATTGAGACATCAAAATTAATTTATAAGAGGTAAGTGGAATCGGAGCTGGCCACCACTATCG